AATAAAAAGAAATTTAAAAAACATATATATATATATATATATATATATATATATATATATATATATATATAAAATTTTGATTTATATATTTTATATTATTTTGATCTCATTATATTACTTTTTTCATGCATTTAATTTTTTTATTTTTATGTTATTACATTTCTTCCTACATTTTCATCTTATTTAAACTATGCATCATGTTGAAAAAGTAGGGGTGACATGGAAAATGTATAAACATATACAGTTATTAAATATAATAAAATAAATTTTTACTATCATTATTCATTTGTATTGTTAAATGACTAAAAATTATACCTTTTTTAATTCCACCCACACTTTTTCAACTTTAATTTAAATTAATATTAAAAATAAAGTAACATAAATATAAAAATGTAATTCTTATATATTTGTATAGTTATGCATTATACCACCAATTTATTTATTTATTTATTTATATTTGAATATATTCTGGATTCGCAATTCAAACTGAATCTGAATTTAATAGGCGTTCATAATGCAATTCTGAATGGTGCACAACCCTGATATGATCTGGAAAATAATTTTTTAAATATAGTGCTGTCAAACGATTAATCGCATCCAAAATAATATATGTATAAATGTATAAATACACACACATACAGTACATATTTTGAAAATAGTTACATGTATATATTTATATTCATTTAATTTATATTATATATAAATATATTTATATATATATATATATATACATGCATGCGTGTGTATTTATTTATATATATACATAATAAATGTACACAGTACACACATATATTATGAAAACATAAAACTTTTATTTTAGATGCGATTAATCGCGATTAATCGTTTGACAGCACTAAAAAAATGTAATAGACTGATTGAAAAAAAAGAAAAACTCACTTAATTTGAACTCAGTGTTAGTGTGGTTTTGTGCCGCTGCTGCTCTCAGGCCTGAAGACCATCGTGGGCGCGCTGATCCAGTCGGTGAAGAAGCTGGCAGACGTGATGATCCTGACGGTCTTCTGTCTCAGCGTCTTCGCTCTCATCGGCCTGCAGCTCTTCATGGGGAACCTGCGGCAGAAATGCGTCCGCAGCACCGCGCACTGTCTCAACACCACCTTACCTTCAGACAGCAACAGCACTTTCTTCTGCAATAACAGAACCTGGTCCTCGCTGGAGGACTTCATCACTAATGAAGGTCAGTGTGAAGTCTGAATGCTCGGTGGGAAACCACAATAGCTAGTTTCCATCTCATACGCTACAGCAGAAAGATGTTTTTCTGAAGACGATGTGGGTGGCGGGACCTCTGTGATGTGCGCTTGCTGAGTGGGTTTTAGCAGGTTTTAGGTGGTTTCATACTGGCTTAAGTCACAAGAGTTTGTCTTCAAGACTCTCTGATATTCTGGAGTCTGAAACTGAGAAACAGAAAGGGACACAATAGTTGTTATACAGTAATAGGAGCTCAGATCATTAGGTGAGACATGTTGGAGTTAATGCTGAGATCTGTGACTTTGGATGTCTTGGCAAATCTGAGCGCACTTTGAGATATTGTTGAGATCTGATCTGAAACTCTAGAGAAAGCAGGATTTTTTAGCAAAGGTCTCAGTACTTTCTAGGAGAAACAACTGGGATATTAAAAGCATATCATTTTTAATTTGCCTTTTTTCTGGTTAGTATAACTCAGTGTTATTTTAGGGTTATTTATATACTATTACACTATTTATTAATATTTTGAGGTATATTTCCAGTTTTAATTTACATTTACATTTTTAGCTTTAGCTTTTTTTAGTAATATAGTAATTTTTGGTTATTTGTATTAGTTTTTTACTAGTTTTAAATATTAAATAGTTTTCATTTATATTTATTTCAGTTTAGTTTGAGTCATTTTAATACTTCAAATGTACTAGACATGTACGTAGACATTTATTTCGTATATATATATATATATATATTTATTTATTTATTTAAAAGCAACATATCCAATTTTCATTTAAGTTTTTTTTAAATGTTAATTTTAGCTTAATTTTTAGTAATTCTATATTTTTTATGTATCTATTTAATTTTAATGTATATTTAAATCAGTTTTATTTTGAGTGATTTTAGCACTTAAACTTAGACATAATTATTTCAGTTTTATTATTTATTATTTTATTATTAGTTTTATTAGTATTATTATTTCATACTTTTTTAATTTTAGTTTAAGTTTTAGTAATTTACTTTTGTGCTTTTACCGTTTTTATTTAATTAATATTTATATTTGAGAAATGTTAGTATTTCAACATAAACGTAATTATTTTACAGGCATAAACTTCATTCTTTACTGGAAAATTTCTACATTTTGTTTCATTTAATATTTTTATGTATTTTTACGTACATAAGTAACAAAACAAAACGTTTAGTTTTTTAGTTTTAGTTTTAGTTTACAGTAACAACACTGGAGCTGGTTGCACAAATACATAAAAAATTAATTAAAATGATAATATTAAGTTTTTTTCTTCAGGACTATTCATAACTTTGGTCTAATTTAAATCTGAAAATTAAGACTGATGACTAAGACTTAACATGATGGCTATGTGGTTACACAAGCAAACTTTTTAGCTACATCTTAGAATTTAGCTTTGATTGAATATACACTTAAAAATCAAATAGTTATACTAAACTCAACAAGAAACGAGCAGCTGTGTGAATCCCCTGAATGAACCCTGCAGCCGCTTTCACACATGCAGACTGCGATATGAAACATGTTAATTATAATTCTGCAGCTGAATGACAATACTGTCAGAAGAGCGACGTCTAAGATGAGATTTAGTCTTTTTTTGCGTGGTCTCATTTCATTAGAATAGCAATTAGGACAGCGCTGGCACTCGATAAGTTGACCCGCCGAACGCAGATGTAGGACACAGACAGAAATAGACAAGACGCTTTCTCCTCAAGTGCTTCGTCATGCTTTGCATGCTCCAAAACATGAATTCAAACAGTTTACTAGCATAACAACCAGTGTTAATGAAGCTCTGAAGGACACTGGTGACCTATCAGTGGTAGAATGGATCAAACACGATATTAACGCAGGCCCATAACCTTTTGGAGAAACACTTCGAGAGCGAAAACCAGAGCAGATAAACCTCTCAGCCACTCTCTTCAGCCGGAGGAAAAACAGACGCGTTCACATCCATCTCCTCCGACCAAACCGCAGGCTATAGCTTATGCAGAGCAGCTTCAGTTTCTCAAGATCCTGATTGCAGCTTTGAGACGCTGCTTTCAAACACAAGACACTAGTTCAACTACAGTCAGATTACACTTTTAAAATGTCAACCCAAACCTATTTAAAGGTGACATATCATGAAAATCTGACTTTTCCAGGTTGTAAGTGCTATAATCAGGTCCCCGGTGCATCTACCAACCAAGAAAAGGTGAAAAAGATTAACCCAGTACTTTGTTTTGGGAAGCCTTTTTCTGCAAGCGTCTGAGAAAACCAGCACGTCTGATTTCTCTCCCTTGGTGACGTGACAAAGGGACCTCATTATAATATCACCGCCCCTTAATCTGTAAGTTTACACCCACGGCACCGTTATTGTGATTTCACAAGCGACAACGGTGTAGCAGCTCTAATGCCATGATGATAGTTTGAACGAAGCATGCTAACTGTTCTGTGTTTGGCTGCAGAGACGAGCACAGAACACTGTTTAGAGTCCCAGCCTCAGAGGAGACGAGAGCAGTGCATTTATTGAACATTTTGAACAAAAAGCTGAAAAAGACTATGAATTAGATTCAGAATGATAATCAAAACGTAGATAGATTCGATCAACACCCCAAAGCTTGACAGTCATTATCACCTCTTCATTGGTCGACATTACATCAACGTTGCACAGTTTTGATACTGTTTTATGTCTGGTGATCGTGTTAGATTACACGTGGAAGCATCTGTTGTTTCGGTTTCTTCGTCACTTGTGTTTTTTGGAAATTCTGTACGGAAGATGTGTACTAGCGCCCCCTACAGTATAACAATGAAAACACGGATTCTAGGAACACAAGTATAGCTCAAATATGCTTTTTCTAAGTAGGCTATAAGTCAAGTATACTTAAATGTCATTTTAAGTATATTTCTGAGAAGTACATAAAGCCCATTTCTGAGAAGTACATAAAAAGTAGACTAAACGTATACTTTCCTATTTTTTAGTTTAAAAGAAGTATACTAATAGCACACTTGAATAAACGTATTTTTCGTAAGGGTAGTCATGTTTATTTATGATAATTCATTTACTGACAATGGTGTCATAATGTAATTCGTTAGCTGTAGGCTGTTTACGGTTGCCAGGCAAGATAGTCGACACACTTACTTTGCGATTTGTAAATTGTAAAGTAAAATTTTAGGTTTTGGCCAATTTGTAGCAAATTCGTTTGTTTGTTTTTGTACGATCATATTCTGGGCTCATCTGCTTGTCTGTTTATAGTATGCATATTCAATGAGGTGTGTACTGAATTTGATCTTTTAATAGGACTGTCTTTGTACATTATTAAGCGTTTTTGAATGTTTTGAATGTTGAAGGTGATCTAAGGATTTGTGGTTTGAATTTGTGACTAAAAATAATGAATAGAATGTGTGTTCGCTACTGGATTTCACCTTCAAACGTGACTCATCCAATCAGACGTGAGGGGCGGAGCTATGCATGTTATGAAAGGTAAAACTAAAGCTAGATTTGGTCGATGTGCAGCAGCTGCTGTAAGAGCCGTGAGTGTCTGACTCAGCAGAGCTGCATGTACATGTATGAGTCAGTGGCCTTGACTAACACAGCAACCAGACAGACGCCAATCAAGCCCTCCAATCCAGAGTCTTTCTTCATATTTAGACAAGTAAAATACAATCTGTTTATTTATCAGTTTATTTTATTATCAGTATTATAATGGATAATGCCATCTGCAACCTGCTTTAAACTAATGGATTTCAGTAAACAAGACTGTAAAAAAAAAAAAAAAAAATAAAATAAAAATTAATAGTAAAAAAAAAATAAAAAATTACAAAAAAAATTTCTACCAAGAACTAATTGGATAAAAAAAAAAATTAATACCAGAATGGATTCATGTCATCGACAGGATTATTATAGTAAAAGTAAAAGTAAAACCATAAACATTATACTTGTTACTTCAAAAAAAAAATTTAACTGATAAAATAAAGTAAAATAAAAATAAAGTGAAATAAAATAAATTACAGAATAAAATAAAATATAAAAAAATTTACTTATTTTATTTCAGCTAGTTTCCAAAGCGACATTTCTCATTTTCATTTAGTTTAACTTGATGTACTAAAATAACTAAAACTGAAATAAATATGAATAAAAAATATACAGACATATTAAAAAATTAAAACGAATAAAAATGACAAATGCACACCATTTTTTTCAACTAAAATTAAAATGACAACATAAAATAAAAAATAAAATAAAAATTATAATAGTATCTAATAATTACCAAAATAAAATAATAAAAATACTAAAATAACACTAATCGTCAGTAGAAATGGAAAATTGCTTTAAACTTTGTTTCTGAATTGAAAATAATTATATAATTATAATAAGAAAACCATAGCAAATAATAACTTGCATTTCTAATAACTTAAGATTATGAAGACAAAGCGTGTTTTTCTTGGGAATAATGAGCACTTGTGATTCATGTACAGAAACATAAATCATTTAATTAGAATTGAATAATGACTTAAGTACGCAGGGTTCACTTTGCAGCGGTTTTCACTTAGAAAATGCTAGTAAATATCACCAATAATTACAAAGAAATTAACTGAATTAAATGCGAAAAACTAAAATCGTATTTTCGTGTAAAACACACTAATCATCTAAAAACCTTTTTTACAGAATAGTTGAAATGCATAAATGAGAATCTAAACACAGTACTGAACAAATATAATAATAATCCAGTCTGTGGTGTGAAATCCTGCAGCTCAGAGGAACATGTGTGTGTGTTCATAACTGAAGGAGTGTGTATGAGTGTATGGAGGGATTTGTACAGTTTGTGCTGATGGTCATTTCTCTGCTTACGTAAACTCGCAGGAGCTCACTTCGGTGAGTCATGACATCTTCAGTCTCTTACGAGAAAACGAGGTGCTGCTGAGGAGCTCTGAGAGTTAGAGGTTACTTAACAGATCACCAGGTGAAGTTTAGTCTCTAAATGATCAACCACACAATCTAC